TGAGACATGATCTTAACCACATTTTCCATATTGTGGTAGTTTGAAAAAATGGCTCCCAAAGGGAGTGGCATTATCAGGAGTTGTGGCCTTGTTTGGGGTAGGCTTTGAGGTCCTATGCTCAAGCTATGCCCAGTGTCACAGTTCAGGTCCTGTTGACTTTGAATCAAGATGTAGAGCTTTCAATTCCCTCTTCAGCACCATGTCTGCATGAATGCCACCATATTTCCCGCGATGATGAGAGTAGACTAAACCTCTGAAACTGTAAGCTACACAAATTAAATGTTTTCCTTTATAAGAATTGCTGTGGTCACGGTGTCTCTTCACAGCAATTGAAACCCTAACTAAGACACATACATTGCCTATTTCCACCTTTGGGTACATCACCAGATACTTTCTAGTTTATTTCCTTCCTTTGTTCAGTGAGGCAACGGATGTGTGGAGATCTTTCCATTTTTGTGAGTCTGTGTTCTCATTCTGAAAGCACTCATGAGAACATTCTCTAACATTCATTTGTTTCCTTTGAAAGTAACATTTACTCATTAGGTGCTCATGATTAATTTCAGATTCTGCTTGCATGTACGAGGAAAGTCATTTATTTGGCATGAGCAGGCTCACATCCCTTATAAAGCGAGGTATGGTATTAATTTATTAACTACACAGCAGAACATCAAATGTTAAGCGCAGGAGAGTGGCAGTCATGGAGAATTATGAGAATCATTACATGGTAAGAAATCTGAGCAAAGAGCTCACATTAAGAAAGAATCTGCTCTGGAAACAAAGAAAAACAGCCTTGCTACATTACTGATCCTCTATATTAGAGTCCTCACAATTCATGCACACCACACACTGCACTCACACTGGGGAACTGCTGCCCTGGGCCGGCAGATGGCTACCCATTCGATTATTTATTTTCTGTGGAGCGAAGCTTGAACTTTTTGTATATACTACAACCAAACTTAGGCTGGATAGCATAAATCTATTCCTGTAAGCACCATTGAGAGAAATGTCTGCCTGTGTCATTCACCCATGTACAAGGCACATGTAGGCCAGTGTCTGGTACATTAAACACTGTGAATGTGTTGATCTTGTTTCCATTTTTCTGTCTTAAATAGATGAGCTACCTGTGTGTGTGTGTGTGTGTGTGTGTGTGTGTGTGTGTGTATTCTCCATCTTAGTATTTTGAGACAGTGTCTCTCACTGACCTAGCAGCCAGAAAGCTCCCAAGAGCCTCTTTGCTCTTTGCACATATAGCCCAAGGTTATAGGCACTAAATTGGAATTAAATTGCCTTCAGTGAAAAATAATTAAGTAAATAAGACAAAAATCAAAGATAAGTGAAGGCTATTTATGCTACTATGAGAAGCACTTCAAAAATGGAGGCTGCTGGTCATGGTGGCACATGCCAGGTGGAAAATTATGCTAAAGAGGCAGAGGCAGGAGGATCATCACAAACTGGAGGCTTTCAAAGACTTCACCTTCAGTCTCAAGATGGTTTGACTGGGTATTTGCAGCCGTACGTGAAAATCTGAATTGGATCCCTGGACCCCACAGGGTGAAAGGAGAGAATAGTGTTTTACAACTATTCTCTGACCTCCACATATGGCCATGTATACAGCACACACACACACACACACACACACACACACAGACACACACACACACACACACACACTGTTAAAACCGATTTAAACAGAATGAAAATAGCTATGTGTAAGTTATAAATAGAATAAAAATACATGAGAGGGGGAGCTATTAATAAATCTGCTTCTTGTGTTTTCCTCTTAAAACTCAAAACAGAGTGGTCTGCTTCTCGCCCACATCAAAGCAAGCCAGTGGACTAAGAAAAAGAGCAGAGAAGGCTCCAGCCAGTATCTCTCTCCTCGTGCCTGGATGCAGTCTCCAAAACTGTCCTTTGAATGAGCAACAAACACAGAAAACCAGAAACAGAACAGGAAGATTAAACCCCCAAGAGCAGGCAACCGTGACACTGTCACACCCGTATCCAGCTCCCTTCAAACCATTTCTCTTCCCCGGAGACCACAGTAAGTATGCGCTCTCTTTTCAGTGCATGGGTCTTGGGTGTGGCACAAGCAGATCAATGACTAACCTCCTCTTTTTAGCAAAACGTAAACCTCCAACACAAATTAAGCAAGCTTTTAAATATTGTGCATGGTACAAAAAAAACCATTCACATAAAGGATGAATGGGACTAAAGAAAAGAGAGGGGGAGTCCTTCAGAGATGGGTGAGTCTGTCAGGGAGCAGTGATCATGCACATGGACTCACTGAGTCTCAGAAGTTTTCCACGACATACCTATCTCCCCTCTGCCCACCTAAGTAAGAACTCAGTCCCCAAAGGGAGAATTGTGACCAAGGGTGCAAGGATTAAATTGAAAAATCTCCATTGAAAACAGAGTGGTCTCCACCCTGGAAAAGAAATGAAGCCAGAGACAAAGAGAGAAGAGAAAAACTGAATCTTCACGCAGGTTGAGAGTCCTAAAAGAAATGGAAGGTACAAGGGTTCCTGACCATGCTGTCACAGGGAGGATTTTAAATGAATTCCCATGCCAGCCCTTAGAAGATTGCAGTAAGAATTCAAATCACTTTCCAATTATTTCTGGTGTCATCTATTCATTTATTTCACGAATATTTACTGACAGAGACAATGTCTCAGGATTGTGTATTACTACTAGCTTTGGTATAGATGGGCTTTATGGTAAAAAAAAAGTTGCTAAAACACAATGACTCCATAAAAGAATAACCATATTTTAGTACTACACCTTCTCTTCTTTCAGAATATCTGTTTATAGGGTATGGTATAGGGCCATTGCAGAAAAAAAACATATGGAGAGTCCATAAAGTCAGAAGTAGCAATTCCACTTCTGGGTATGTGTTCAGTGAAAGTAAAATCAGTATGCCAAATAGACACCTGCCCCTGATGTTTTCAATGTGGCATTTTTCATGGTAACCAGGATGTGGAATGGATAAAAGGATCAGGAATGCATGGGTGAGGAAACTGTCGTGCAGGTACGCACTGGATAGTTAGCCTTTCAAATGACGCTCTATTATTTCTGTAAACATGGATGTCCTGGAAGACACAACGTTAAGTGAAAAAGTGCCATGGGCAAAAAGACAAACACTCCCTGGTCTCCCTGTGGAAGTCAAAAGTAAAAGTCAGTTTCCCAGAAGCTGAGAGCAGGATGGAAGTCGCCAGAGGCTAAGGGTGAGGAAGAACGAAGGATCCAATTAAATGGCATTTTGTACACTCAGGCAGGATGAAATCACAGAATATCTATTATATAAGACAGTAACTATAATTAATGATAATGTGAAGATGCAGCTGCTTTAAGGCTGATCTTAATTGTGCTGACTACAAAAGACTAGGAGTATTTGAGGTGGCAGGAGTAACTAGCTTGATATCAGCATTTCACAATGGACATAGACACAGGAAACCTCCTGGTATTCTGGATGCACACAGCAACTTCTCAGTTTCACCATAGGAACTTCTGTAACACAGTGGTGCAGGTTGGAGACTGCATATTCCCTCGGTGACTTTTTCCCACAGCTAGCAATGACACTGCTCCATTCTCTAAAGGTTAAGACAAAACATCACCAGCCCTCCTGGATTACTTACAATTTGGGATTAAGTGCAACCAAATTCCAAATGCTGTTTGCCTGAGAAATGTCTTCCACCCAAACACACAACCATCAGAGCTGCCAACAACAGTAACCCAAGGCTACTTCCATTACAAATTTGGTCTTTGCTTAAAAAGAAAAAAAAAAGAAGAAAATCCCTCTGATGTGTCCCTAGATAATGACCCACATAAAGTGCTTGCTGTGATTAGTAATGGCATTTGCTATGTAGAGGGTGCCAGGAAGGGAGGCACAGGGCTGACCGTGGCCCACAGGGAAGTCTCTTCTGTGAACAGAATGTGTAACAGCTCATTCTTCAAGCTCTTCTCGGGGGAACCGAATTGATGAGTGTGCTGTCCTTTAAAAACAGTTCACTAAACGCTCTTAGATAGCATCTCCTGATTATGGCTGACATATATTTTTGGCAATATTACTGCCCTGTGGGCCTCAGTATGACAGGCAGTTAAGGTTCTCAGTTAAGATGAATTTTGAAAAAGCAGAGATAAGCAGACTAATTTCCTACCAAAGTATGTTCCTCTGATCTTTGAAATGTTAAGGGGGCCACGTCACTGAATTATTTTGAGCAAGGGAAGTTTTGCCTTGGAAAGACCACAGGGTAAACATCTCATGTCACAAGTCAGAGAGGGGTGCACCTTGCAGCCAGAAAGAGTGACTATGCAGTGGAGCTGGGCGGAAGGGCACACTAAGTGCACTGCATTTCCTGTGCAGACCATGATTGGCATGTCATATCTACGTTCATCACAAATAAGACAACGTACAATGTCTACCCTGGTACCTGGCTGCCATGATAGAATATCCTCAAGAAGGTTAACTAGCCTGTGCACACACACACAACACACTATTAAAGTACAAAATGCATTCTCCCCATTTCTCAGATCAGATAAAGAAATGTGAAAAAAACAAAGTCTTTGGCTTGGCTGGTATCCTTATTTTGGAGCCAGAATATCTACAATTATTTCCAGTGTTACTTGAAATCTTATGGCTTATATCTAAATATTCCAAACATTATTTTGGTGACAACAAACATAGGAAAGAGAAAGTAATACTTAAATATTTATTTCTAGAAAACTCAGACCACTGGGTTCTTTGGAAGATGAACAGCTACTGTGTTTGGGAAATAAAAAGAATGACTGACTTTCCAACATCGATGATGGACACTATTATGAAACAGGTCTCTAAAAAGCCCATGATCTTGGTGAACAGAGGTGAGACTCGTCCAGGTCTTGACTAACAAAGCACAAGCCTGTTTCAAACATACAGTTGTGGATTCTGGACTTCTCATTATTTGGGCTGTTACCTAGTTAAGATGCTTACTAACAGAAAGTAAAGCTGTCTCTAGATTACATACCTGTAATGGAGTCAATGGTGAAGAGGGAGGCCAAGTCTCCTGGGATGAGTTCATAAGCCACTGTTCCATACACGCCAGAATCGCTGTCACTGGCGAGAACGTTGACGATCTCAGTGCCTGGCAGGGTCTGGCCACTAATGCTTGTCACATAAGTCGATGGATTAAAAACGGGGCGATTATCATTCACATCCTCCACCTCTACCCGGACGAAAGCTTGAGCACTGAGACCACCCTGTGAGAGGAATGGACAGTGATCACAACTGGGCTTCCGTGGACACTGGAATCCAAAACAAATAATAACAATCCCCAAACAGACTCTGAAACATGGAAGTGTGAGTGTGTGTGTGATACTGAGATCAAATAACCAAAAATGGTTCTAAAATAGACTTCTGAAGCAATAGAACATACATAGTCATATAAGTAAATTTTGGTTGTGCTCTTAGATTATGAATCCCTATCCATTGTTTTAGAAAAACAAATCTCATTAGGGAATGATTTGAGGAAGGACAGCTACTGAAGGGAGCTAGACTGGTGTTACCTGGGGGAAAATGTTTCTCAAACGGGTGAAAACTCAAGTACAAAGACCCCACAGCAGGAGTATAGTGCCTGAGCTGGTCTGTTCAGGGGCAGAAGGAAGGCACAGGTCTGGTGTTAAAGGCTGGAGTTGGCCATGGAGATCAGTGGGCTCACCCGGGTCAGGACTCTTCACCATTACAGCGTTCTGAGCACTTAGGTAGCTTGGTTCGACTTCAGTATGAACTGCTTGTTGAGGTGCTCAGAACAGACAGGAAGTGTTGAAGGCAGAAGCAGGGAGCAGCTGGGAGGCCTTGGAGTCACCAGGTTAGGAATAGACAGTGGCCATGAGGAGGGGAGGAACAGCAAATTAGCTTATCTATCAGCAGTTGGGTCTCAGCGCCAAGTTTTGGAGGGTGATGAAGAGGATTGTAGATAGCCTGAAATGTTTGTGGCCCTGTGAGATCTGGCTAGCCAACAGCTCCAAAAGATGTAGACCATTTCCATTATTTGTTTGGTAGACTAAATCATTATTTGTTTTATATGGTATTCCTGAGTTTCAGAACACAAAGAAATCAAGGTACTAGTCCACTAGAGGCTTCATTGCCTGCTGGCTAGCTTTCATAGTGCTGAAAGCTACTATTCACACAACCAAAGGAGAAGAGTAGGCATCAGTCTTACTTGGCTGTGAGTCCAGTGACATACAGTAGTAACTGGTCTGAAAAGACATGCCCACATGGGAGAGTAACTAACCACCTTCTGACTGAATTTTAAGGGGTGCTCCACGAGTTGAAATTCATACATGGCACCATTATTGGGGCTAAGAACCTGGGGCAAGATAGCCTATGAGTCCTAGGGGAGAAAGTAATACTATTATTTGCTCAATGAGCACAGCATTAAAATGACTCCTGGTGATTTATTTTTATACCCATAGATTAGTGACTCTCGAGTGTCATCAGAGAAACTTCTTCTGCAATAGAAAACACAATTGGTCATGGTGTAGAAACTCAGAGACTGCAGAAGGCTCAACTCCACTCTAAATGCATCTGTATCACACTGCCTCCTCCCAAGGCTCAGAGATCTCTGGAGTAGATCAGACAGAGAGATTATTACAAGATCCAGTTGTGGATGACTACAGCAAAAGTGGACATTTGCAGACACACTGAGCAGTTTCACTCATGAACTCACAAAGACTGTGACAAAGTTTAAAAAAAAAAACCTGTGTAAACTTAAGCCAGATAAGAGTCCAGCATGGAGAGGGGAAGTGGGTGTGAAGTCCCAGCTCTAGCTATTAGTAATCTATAGCTTCTGGGAGAGGGAGAGTCAGCTTTCTGAAAAGTACAGATCCTGGTAAGTTGACCACATTCCAGTGGAAGGCTACATACCCAAGGGTATATGGACTGTTCCTAATGGTTTGGGGTTTTGTTTTGCTTTTTTTTTAAGAGAACACAATGTTGTGTGGATAGAGAGGAGAGAGATGGGGTGGATCTGGGAGGAGTCGGGTGGTAAATACGTTCGAAATACATTTGGTACCTTTACACAATGGAGTATTACTCAGCAGAAAAAGACAATGGAATCTTGAAATTCGCAGGTAAATGGATAGCACTGGAAGAAACCATCCTGAGTGAGGTAACCCAGTCGCAAAAAGACAAAACATGGTATGTACTCACTCATATATGGATTTTAGACATGGATTAGGATAGTGCCAGTCTGCACTTCCACTGACAGAGAGTCTGGGAAACAGGAAAGAACCTAAGAGAGATATGCGTGGTACCCAAGAGAAGAGGATTGAGACAAGATCCTCTGAATGGATGGGGAACACGGCGAGGGCTGGGTGGGGAGTGGGATCTGGGAAGAAGAGAGGGGGAGAAGAGGAAGAGAGAGTAGGTCATGGGGGAACAGGAAGGTTGAGTGGAGGGGGTAGAATAGGGGGAAAAGCGAATCATATGTTAGAAGACAGATCAGGCACCAGAGTGACCTCTAGTGATCTAAAGGGATGACACCAATTGGCAAGCTAAGCATTAGTGGAGAGACCACCTCGAATGCCCATTCCTGATAATGAACTTGATGTCTATAACCATCTGGGAGCCTTCATCCAGTGATTAATGGAAGCAGAGGCAAACACCCACAATTAAGCACTGAACTGAACCCAAGGAACCCAGTGACAGAGAGAGAGGAGTGATGAGCAAATTGGCAAAGAATGGGCTGGCAAAACCAGCAGAGACAGCTGATCTGAACAGGGGAGAGCTCTTGGACCCCAGACCGACAGCGGGGAGGCCAGCATGGGACTGATCTGGACCCCCGAATGTGAGTATCAGTGAGAAGGCCTGGGCAACCTATGGGGCCCTAAGCAGTGGATCAGTGTCTATCCCTGGAATACAAACAGTCACCGTGTTCCCATAGCACAAAGAGGGATGCTCTCAGCCTGGACTCTTAGGGGAGTGCCTGGACCCTACCCTGAGTGAAATGACAGACTCTAGATATCCCCTATGTGGAAGGAATTGGCCATAGGGTGGGAGGCTGGGGGGGACGATGGGGGGGTGCGGGAGGAGGGGAGGGAGAGGGAACTGGGATTGACATGTAAAACAAGCTATTTAAAATTTAAAAAAAATTTAAAGAAATACATTATATAATCTGGGAAGTGCATCCCAGACTGTTTGGTTCATGTTGGCTCCATCTAAAACCAAAGAGGAGGGAACAAATAAAGTCAAAGGAAATGATCTCCTTGGTTTTCCCTGTTCTGAAGGAAAACATCTGTTCCTGCTTCCAAACACCATTTTCCATTTTGAGACTTTCAGTTCTGACAAAAGTCCTTGGTAAGTCACAACAGCGCAGGGGAGGGGGCGTTTTCCTCACTTATGCCCTCCTCCCAGACTCCTTCTCTTCTTTTTGCTGCCTTTCTCTGCTATGGAGGAAGATATCCAGAAGAGTGGAAAAGGAAGGACAGCTAATAAGGCTTGGAAAGAAAACTGGGAACACATGCGGAGGGGACAGGCTGAGAAAGACAAAATGACTGATAAGCTAATCGTGAATCCAGAAACAGTACAGGTCTCACTGTTGTCCCATGTATACCTTCCTTTGGGGATTGGAGTATTGAGAAATCCATGGTTAGATATAATGCGATTTCTCACGTTCTGAGTTGAATGAAGTGCCAGAGTCCTACCAGTTACATTTAGAACTGAAGAAACAATAGCTGGTTAGGACCATGGTGAAAACAACATGCATTCACCCACCTGTGCGTGCTGATACAGAAAACCAGCTAACCTGCAGGAGTTCAAAGAGAGGTGGGCAGAGGGGACTGCAGAATGACTGGCGGCATATAGGAACTACACTTGGCATCTGGCAGAGAGCCTGCTGGGACAGCAATGCCTGTCTTCTCGTGTTTGTTTTCCCTGTGTCCTTTCCTAGTATATTTCTCCTCAAGCTTAAGCAGCTTCTTAGGTAGAAATAAGGACGGAGAATGCAAAATAATGAAAAGAGAGACGACAACAAGAAGGAAATACCACACCACCAGCAAACCCTCCATGACAAACATCTTAATTTGGTGAAGAGTCTAATAAGGAAATACTGTAAAAAGAAAAAACAATGTTAATGTTAAAAAAGTCAAATGTTAGCTGGACAGCAGAGGGCTTGAACGTTCTGCCACAGAACAAGTATCTTCTGAGGCTAAGGATGAGCTTTCAGTGTCTCTTGTGCATAAACTCAGTGAGCATCTGGTGAAGTCATGAAGTAGGAAATTTCCTCCTATAATAATGCTTTGGGTGTGTTTTACATAGATTGCTCTCCAGGTTGTTACAACCTCGCTCTTTAAGATTTCTATGGCCTTTCTCCCACTGCAATGAGAAACTAAGGCACAGAGAGGTCCAGGGACCAGTTCAAGGTACTGTAAACAGCAGGTCTAACCTGGAACAAAGCTTCACTTGTCCTCTGAGCTCTTAATAACTTCTTTCAAAATCCTGCTGTGGTATAAAGCCCCTCTTTCACGGAGACTTGCTTGTCCCCAATGCCTATCACAGGCTCCATGGTAGGTAAGAAAAGGAAGACATGCTGCTGTTTTTAAGGAACATGGCCCAGGAGGCATATACTATAGTGCCTTCCCCATCACACAGTGCAGCAGTTGAGAGCCCCAAGTGCTGGCATGAAGCTCTATCCACCCATTTGCAAGACCAGAATCTGCAGAGAGAGAAGAGTCAGCCTGAACCTTGACTAGCCTACCTCTTCTGGAAAGTGTGTAAGGCGGGGGCTGGCATCTGATTTCACAGGCCTATCACTGAAAGGAACTGCATAGTACGGGTGGAAGTATTTATAAGAATTCATAAATGTAGCTATAAGGTCTGCTACACAACTTTCCTGGAGAGATAATGTCTATTCTATGTCTACTCATCCCAGACTGGAGAGCAACAATGGGTCAAAGAAAGGATTCCATCAAAAAAAAAGGATTCCATCTAGTTTAGTGAACCAGAAGATTTACTAGAATCACTTAGAATCACTTAGAGGAGCAGGGTAGCTTGGGCAGCTGCATCCCTGAAGCACCATATCATGATAGTAATAATAATAATAATAATAATAATAATTTAAATGTGGTATGGGAAGTCTTGGTGCATGTCTTTATTTGCTAATATTTTAATATATTTATTTTACAATTAACATATAGCCCCTCCTTGATGATAAGGTTGATGACTACCCTATATGCCATCCTAGAACCTTCATTCAGGGACT